TAAATTTAGATATTTTCTAGTAGCAAAAATTATAATTTAAGGGATCATTGATCAGATTTTATCAGTTTTTGTGGCCAAAAAAAAAGGACCAATAAAAAAATTAGCCATTAATACATTTAATTGCCGATTCGGATATGATCGGCACTAATCACGTGTAAATTATTATAGAAATTGGGGATAATTGTTATAGTAACTTTAATTATAGTCTTGGAATCTGGAACGCAATGACCAAATGGCTAAAAGAGTACGCCAAGCTCAAGTTACCTTACTAGAACTAGGCATTTTGGATGAAACATTACATTATGGACCATACTCACGTTATTGGTGGAAAACAAATAAAGCTTTTGACCAAGATATATCTTATTTTCCAATTCGCGTTGGACAAAAAACTCAAATTATTCTTAACGATCGTAAGTTTATTATTACGATAGTAGTCGGTCATCCTGGTAATCCTGACTTACCTGGTTATGTTTGTCAAAGTGATACGTTTTGTACTAAAAACCCAGCTCATGATCCTAGTACAGCTATTTCTTCAATCTACACGAGTATTTTCAATACCAAAACCCGTTACTCCGGACCACTTATTATTGGGTGGACAAATTATGAAATTGTTTCGCAATTGTTAATTGATGTTTCTTTTTTTCCTTTTTTTTTTAACCTTGGTCAAATTAAAATTTTTGTGTTTGGAATTGGGTTTTCTTCTCGGGAAGATTGGAATAAAGGTGGTTCTGGTTATCAGTCGTCATTAATTCACATGTATGGTAATAAGCAAGGATTATATGTATCATCTATCGAAGATAATATTTGTAAAGTTGAAGTTTATTAAGATTCGCAATTAAAAAAAGCAGTAGAAGGAACATTTCCGAATGATGTTTGGGAACATTTTAGTATCAATAAATATAACGGTATTGAACTTTTTGGTCTTAGTTATACAGTTACTCAACAATTAATCAAACAGCACTGAATTCCTACTTGTACACCCAATCAATGGAATGATTTTTCTGTTATAAAAACACTCTATGATTATCATTTAAAGCGTAGAACACTTTCTAATATTAACTGGCATGATCTTTTTATTAATTGGTCAACACAAGAAAGTAACATTATTGAGCTGAATTCCACGCTTAATTCATTATATCCAAAAGATTATTAATTTGATAGTCGAGAATTAAATGCGTGGTGATCAATGTTTCGCACTGCTGGTGCGCATGAAATAACACCCTGGTCATATGCGGAATCAAAAGTATTTAGTAAAACTTTTTTCATATTTAATGTTTCATAGTTACATAATAAGCTTATCACATATTAAATTTTAGTATCAATTTTGGACAAAATCCAATCCACCAAATCATGATTCTGCGACACTCAAACAATTCTATGAAATGGGATTTTTAACAAGTATACCTGTTCATATGCCAAATACAACACGCACATTTTGGAATTCTTTTTCACGCACTTTAGATAATAATAAAAAAACTTCGGATAGAAAACGGCGAATTTTATCAATAATCGCTGAAGATTTTACCTATGATGAATTAGAAACTAACTTAGGTGTAAGTTTATTTTACCAGATTAATAATACACATAAAAAAAAAATAATAATTATCTAATATTAAAAGGTTGGCCGTCATACGATCTCTAGAGCCCGCAAACATGCAAAATCTTATGGTCATGGCGCGCCACCTCTTTCAAAGCCCATTATTCATCGTGTAAAACTAACGGAAGAACAACTAAATCAGTTTGAAATTTTTTTTTCTAACAAAGAAAATGTTAATATGTCATCTTATAGAACTGAAACATCAACTGGCTTACCAATTTTATACCTTCAGAATCATAAAAAAGCTTTATAGAAAAAGTTTTATGAGAGATATCCAAATGGAATGCAATATACATCATTTATGACTCGCTTACAAGGCGGCTGATACATATATAAAGATAATCTTGGTGACATGTGCTCAAGTTGTAATGAGCTTGGATATGAAGTGTTTGAAGAGGTTGAAAAGCTTTTAAAGTTACACATTAATAATATCAATCTTCAGGTATAGTAAAATTATGTATATACGAGTCACTCTTGAAATAGTAAAATAATCAGTTTCATTAATAAAAATTTTTTAGAAATTCACTATATCAAGTGTTTTATTAGTATAAATGCACTATATCGAGAGAATTATATATAAACTAACCTTGAGTCAATTTTTGTATTGAGATTTTAATAGTCTTCTCTATATCGAGTGACTCATATATTATAATATATGCATATTTGTATACACATATATATACAGTGTTATATTATATAGTTTTTCATATTGATTACTGTAAATATAACCATTTCTGTAACATGCACAGGATTTACATATTGCTATTAATCATAAAGATTCTTCATAGTTATACACTAGTGAAATTAAAAAATTCGACTAGTGATAATTATTATATTTTTAGCAATATAAAATTATATAATATTCTTTATGATCAATTTGGCAACACTGCATATATGCACGTATATATATTTGTATCTATATATATTCTAATATTAACCGTATATTCAATGCTAATACTATAAATAAATATAGGAAAATTTAAGTACACAAGCTCAAACTCTAAACCGATATTTGCGAAAAGATTATTCTACGAAACTTACTATTAATCCATTAGGCCAAGCTGTTCATAACCCTTGTATAAGTCATTGTCTACAACATGCATTTGGAAATTGCAATTTAGTTCATCCAGAAATATGTGAGGATTGTAAAAAGCTATTTACTTTTTTTGATGAAATAAAAACCAACACACCCCTTGAAATTCATGAACTTTTAAATGAGTATCAAACTAAACTTGTATATTTTCAAGCTCATCATGCACGGAAAACATACCTTAATGCTCAACTAAGTGCTAACCTTGCACAACTTGATTCAGATGGTGCGTTAATCATTGTTGACTACAAGATGAAAATCTTGTGCCAAAAATCTAGAGAAACCAAGGCTGAATTTTTTGGCAAACGCAGATGGTCACTCTATTCAGTCTTAATGTATATGAAGGATCCTGATAGTGGTAAAATTAATATTCACGCATTTGATCATTGGAGTAACAATAGTAAACAAGACGCCTGGTTTACAGCATCTTCGCTTCATGGTGTGCTAGAAACAATCGAAATAAAACCAAAGTGGATTAGTATTTTTTCTGATAATGGACCGCATTATTACAATACAGAATTAATGATAATCATAGCTCATTGGAAAAAGTGGTATGGTATTTCAGTGCGTAAATGGATCTTTCTTGAGGCCGGTGAAGCGAAAACAGCAATTGATTCGCATCATGCCCAGGTATAAACAAATTTTCATTTTCGTAATTAGTAGGGTTGTTAATAGATTTGGTTGAGTTGATCCAACTTTCAACCTATTATATTAAATTAACCTCGCTTCAGTTTTATCTGGGCTACTCCAGGCCTAGTCTAAGTTGCTTCAGGTTGCTTCAAATTTATAGCCTTATTTTTTTAAACCCACTCCTACTTAAGCTGTGTTCGGTCTGGAGTAACTTCAGAATCTTATTTTTATTACTAACACCCTAATAACTAGTACACCCTAATCAATTATTACTATCTGGTCAGTTAACACACGCTATAAAACAATGGGTAAAAATGGGTCACGATATTGAATCGGGTGAGGAAATACAAGAGGCAATAAAGACTTGGCAGGTACTCACGTTGCTAATATCATGCCTAATCGCGAAGGTTTGCGTATTTTTGTATCTAATTTTAAATAACAACAGATACAAGTATTAATTAAACTAAACTAAATAAAGAAAATAAAAAACTGGGAACGATACATGGAATTTCTAATTGGCACGAATAGACTTGGCCAGATGAAGGAGAGGATGCAGAATGTATTTTTGCTAGATCATTACTGGGATTAGGAGCATGGAAAAAATATACACCTGAGCAAATCATGAAAATTACAAAAGAACATGTTTTTAGAAAGCCGGAGCCAATGCTATCAGAACATACAACACCTACCAAGTCATGGACTATGCCAACACCACGTATTTAAAATACCGTCTATATTAATTATACTTTAGTTATTAATCCAAATTTAATTATTTGTTTTATTACTTGATAGATAAAGATGTGAACGAATCTTATATCAAATCCCAAGAGGATACAATGGTAAGATTTACATATATAACACCCTATATTGACTAGATAATATTACCTACTGAAAGTACTTTTGGTGAATTTATTATGTTGAAAGTATTACTTTGAAAAAAGTTCAAAATTAAAAAAAAGATCGTACATATCGATATTATTTTACCAAAGGAACTTGCTCTTCAAATATATTTACGTTTGTACTAGAAATTTTATTAAATTCGGATTAGTAAAATGCAATAAGTGGTGCTGATTTAAAATCTTTCAAAAAGTCAACAAGTAAAGTTGATCGTAAAGAATTTTCACAATCAACTTTACATAACTGATTTTTTGAACGATAATAAGGAGACTAATTTATATGATATGAGTGCGTTAGAGTGAAAACCTGAAGTGAATATTTAAGGTTTCACAGTAGTGAACTTAGCCCCTAAGAATTATATTACGCATCGGTATTGATCAGTGTGATTGGTTGTTTGGTAATTTCAGTAGTTAAATAACATATCTCGAACGTTCTATTGAAACATGATAAATTACATTTTATCAAGGATTAAACTTGGCATTGTGAAAACTTAAATATTCACTTCCAGCTTTTCACTCTTACACACTCATATATCAAAAGTTTTGATTTTGAGAATTACCATCAGATTCGACGAATTTTTAGCTTTGTTAAAAGCATCTACTTTCAGAAAGTAACATCATTATTAGCTTATTACATCCAATAGTTAAAAGACCAAATTTAACGAATATTAAAATTCTAGGAAATGCATACTTCAAATACAATTATTCCAACTCAAATAAATACACACTTGATATCTAAAAGGTAACCTCTCTAGTATAGTATTAACGTATATGTCAAATAAGGATTAAACTCTACTTATTCTCAACTTAGTCATGACAGGTATTCGTTAGGGTGGGCTCTTGCTGAAAATGAAAAAAATAATCAGAGAGAACCTTGGAAACGAATGACAGAACAAATCAGAAATTTATTAGAAAATATGTTTCATGCAGGGACAGCGGACAGCAAAAACAAATTTACAGGTCAAGAAATGTATGATGAACTATTGAAACGGGCTCAACGCGGTGAATTTGATCAAAGTGATGTTCCAAAAGTATCCACTATTAATAACTGGATTGCGACTTTTAGTCGCAAGTGGAAGCAAAATATGGCAAGACATTCTTTGGAGGTATATGAAACCTCCGAGATATTGAAATAGGTATATTTTCTTAGGTTACTTACTTTATATGATAAAAGTCATGTATTGGAATC